GGCCCGAAACGTCAGCCTTCCTGCTCCTGTGATGCTGCTTGGCCTGCTGTGTTCATCCAGCTCTACACCTTGTTATCTCAGTAGATTTATTGTCCACAGCAGGTTTTAACACTGTGGTCTGGGCATTGTAGTTATGGGTTTACTTTTAACAAAATAAAAATTGTTAACAATCTTTAACATTTTTTCTTTTTAAAAAGTTGCTGAACAAATTTGGGTTGGACAAGATCTATGAGGGTCAGGTGGAAGTGACTGGTGATGAATACAATGTAGAAAGCATTGATGGGAAGCCTAGTGCTTTCACCTGCTATCTTGATGCTGGACTTGCCAGAACCACCACAGGCAACAAAGTCTTTGGAGCTTTGAAAGGTGCAGTTGATGGCGGCCTGTCTATTCCACATAGGTAAGGGGCTGCATTGTGTCTTTTATTTCTAATGTTATTTTGTAATTTCAGGCTTTAATTTTGTGATTTGATGCCTGATGTTGAAATACACTGAACAATGCAAAATTAGGGGTGGAAAAAAAGAGTAGTATGTCGGGGCTTGCATGTATACGTTTAATTCCTGATCTCAACAGTGCCTTTGAAATGTGGCTGTAACTAACAGGAACAAAAATATGGATAGATCATGCCAAGTGGTTGATGCAACCTACAATAATGACTGATCTAAATAATGTTGCCATGGTTTCTTATAAACCTACATGAAAATAATACAGTTTAGTTTCATACTTGAATTTCTGGTAACTATGGTTTTGAGGTATTTCCATGTTTTGTATCTGCTTTGATATAATTTGAGTGGAGCTTACTTAAGTTATTCTTACATGTGATGTAAATTTTGTGAATGTCTAGATTGAAAGCAGTTCATAACTTCTGTAAAAGAGAAAAACAAGTGGAATATTAAATAGACTGATTTCTTAAATTCCAGCACCAAGCGATTTCCTGGTTATGACTCTGAAAGCAAGGAGTTCAATCCTGAAGTTCATCGTAAACACATCTTTGGGTTGAATATAGCAGAATACATGCGTTACCTAATGGATGAGGATGAGGATGCTTATAAGAAGCAATTTTCTCAGTACATCAAGCATGGAGTCACAGCGGACAAGGTAAGGAAATGGATATTTTTAAAAAATATACACAATTCTCATTGATTTGTCTTTAACAACCGGTCTTTATAGCCCAGAGTGAGATGTTAGAGTAGTCCTGTGTAGAAAAACAAGATATCAAGTTAAGTGCGTTCAGGAGCATAGATAGCCAGAATCCTACTGAACATACAAATTGAGGAAATGAAAGTTTACATTAAGCAAGATTAAAAAATATTATGCTTAATTTATTCTATTAATCATTGTTCTAACAAAAAATCCATCCACCAACAAAGTAAAACTTGACAATGAGCCACATGCAATGTTGGCATTTATTTTGAGAGGACTTGAATATAAAAGCAGGGATGTACTACTGAGGCTTTATAAGGCTCTGATGAGGCCACATTTGGAGTATTGTATGCAGTTTTGGACCCCATATCTCAGGAAGGATGTACTGGCCCTGGAGCGGGTTCAGAGGTGGTTCACAAGAATAGTCCCAGGAATGAGAAGCTTAACATATGAGGAACGTTTGAGGACTCTGGGACTATACTCATTGGACTTTAGAAGGATGAGGGATCTAACTGAAACTTACAGAATACTGAATGGCCTGGACAGAGTGGATGTTAGGAAGATGCTTCCATTGGTAGGAGAGACTAGGACCCTAGGGCACAGCCTTCGGGTAAAGGGAAGGCCTATTAGAACGGAGATAAGGAGAAACTTCTTCAGCCAGAGAATGGTGAATCTATGGAATTCACTGCTACAGAAGGCTGTGGAGGCCATGTCATTGAGTGCGTTTAAGACTGAGATAGATAGGTTCTTGATTATCAAGGGGATCAAGGGTTACAGGGAGAAAGCAGGAGAATGAGGTTGAGGAACTTATCAGCCATGATTGAATGGTGGAGCAGACTCGATGTCTTATGGTCTTATGAAATTTTAAGATAAGTGATCTGAAGATAGACAAAAGGAGAGATTTTAAGGAGATGTGAGGTTAGGGAGGGAATTCCATAGCTTTGTGTCTAAACAACTGAAAGCATAATAACACTTAAAATCAGGGATGTACAAGGCAATAGAATTGGAGCAGTGCAGAGATTTTGGATGTTTGTTGACTCAAGGAGCAGTTCAGAGAGAACGAGGTATAGAGCCCTGCAGTGATTTGAAATGGGAAATGAGATTAGCCAGTGTAGTTTAGCAAGGCACAGGGTTAACTGGTTGATAGGGCATTATGCCAGTTAGAACTTTGGCATTAAATTTTTGGGTCAGTTCAAGTTAATGGCGGGTGGAAGATGGGACGGTTTCCTGCAGTGTGCTGTTATGGCTGGAGACAGTTGAGGCTTAAGATAACAGACATGTAGATGAGCTGATTGAGGGCCAGAGAAAACTTGTGAAAGTGGAACAAACAATCTGATAAAGTAGGAAGCTCATTTCATCGACAGGATGTCAGGATTGTGAATGGTACGGTTCAGTTTCTGGCAGTATTTCTGCAGTTATTTCTATGTTTATATTAAGGAATGTGTGGTAGTTTTGAGGGCCTAGTTTGATGAAGAACCAGACAGGCTGAACCTTGCATCATTGAGAAAGGAAGGATTTGTGGTGTTAATTTTGGCCTAGTGTTTGGCGCAGAGATGAATTCGTTGCTTCTGTAGTTGGAAGAAATAATTCATCAATTGTTGACTTTTGTGTCAATCTTTCAGCAGGTTGGACAGACAACCATAATAGTATTATATTGCATTGATAGAGTTCTTGTCGAAGTACATTTCATAGTTCAGTTTTGTTGCGGAAAAGTTTGACACATTGCCAAAGCAGGGAAGTTGGGGCTGGGCAATAAATGCTGGTCTATCCAGTGATGCCTATGTCCGATGAAAGCCTTTTTAAAAAAAATTCATGCCTTTCGTTGTTTAACAAATGCAATTGAGCGTATTCCTCTCCTGCAGTATAAACTGTTGTGACTTGTTAGAAATTCAACGTTGCTTTGAGAATGTTTCTTTTTTCACCAGTATACTACTACTGTACTACTAAGAATGTTTTTAACACAAAAGTAGGACATTTATCTCTGCTTTGTCTGTGTTGACTCTGCAAAATCAATTCAGGTAGTCAGAGTTGCCATTCCTTTCCTTGGAGCTCTGCAACTTTTTTGAGTTTACTGAATTCTGTTTTGACGGCCACAATTAAATCCCGCTCCCCTACTCTTTCAGGTTCAGCATTCCAGATTATAAGTACATGGTATGTTTAAAAAAAGTTTTTGTATTGCCATTGGATCTTTTGCCAGTCTATGTTAATGTGTTTTCTGGTCTTGACTGACTATTTGAACAATGGGAAGTTTCTCAATTTACTGTCTAAACCCCTTGTGATCTTGAGCACCTGTTTCAAATCTGTCGACCTTCTGTAAGAACAAACTCAGCTTCTCCAATCTATCCAGTAATTTTTTTTAATTCTTTTAATGGGATGTGGTATCGCTGGCTAGGCCAGTGATTAATGTGCATTGACTTAGAGGCTGAGCCAATATTTCATGAAGTTTCATCATAACTCTCTTCTGTGTACTGTATGCCTTTCAAGCATAAACCTAGGTTCTTGTAGGCTTTTTAAAGTCATTCTTTTAATCTGCCCATGTATGCATATGCCTGGGTCTTTTTGCTCTGCATCTGTTTAGAATTGTATTCCTAGTTTATATTTCCTTTCCTCATTCTTCCTACCAGAAGGTGTCAATTTGCACTTCTTTCCATTAAATTCTATCTGCTAGCTGTCCTTGTTTTTCCACCATTTGTGTCTTGTTTTCTTGAAGTCTATCACTGTCTCTCCCTTGGCTCACAATACTTTCATGTTTTCTTACGTACTATCTGCAAATTTTGAAATTCTGCCCTGAGTACCTCAAATCGTTAACAAACAAAGCCGTTGTCCTGGTGCATACCTTCCTTTAATTTAAAAAATAACCGTTCACCACTGCTTTTTTTCTGTTTTGTGCCTAACTTTTTTGTATTCATGCTGTTGCTGTCCTATATTTCATGGGCTTTGCTGGCAAGCTTTTAACATAGCATTTTTATTAAACATGTTTTTGGAAGTCCATTATCCTCATCAATTGATTAACTGGAGTACAAAATAACCAATGAATAGAAAAGAGATTGAGATAGAATGAGAAAACAACGGTGGCATCATGTAACAAACTATGAAAATGGAATTGCGGTAATTGAAGAAGTTCAGTACTCTGGGTAGTAAACACTGGCCTTTTTGTGATATCCTTATTTGAAGCTTTTTTTAAAAAGATTTAAATCTTACATTTTTGGTCAAGGCTTGAAGGGATGTTCAATAAAGGAATGTTTAATCATGGTGCAAGGTTATTTATTGAAACTGCCTTTTTTCAAAATTTTCATAGATAGAAGATTTGTACAAGAAAGCCCATGCTGCCATCAGACAAAACCCTGTTCATGAAAAGAAGCCCAAGAGAGAAGTCAAGAAAAAGAGGTATTACACGTGAATACTACATTTATTTATGATGATTACAAAAAAGTAAAATTAGACCTTAATCTTTCTTCTTCATTCGAAAACAAAGATTTATTTTAGAATGAGGCTGAATCTGCTTTCAGGTCAAGAAGTGAAGGTAACTATCTTAATTGAAAGAGTGCATTTTTTTAATGTAAAAGCATAACTAGGTGCACACTTAACTTGTGGATCAACTTTGTTTGTACATCTTGTTCTGTACATAGTGAAAAAGTAATTTGCAACTAAACCCAAATTCTTAGCATATGCTTGAAAGCAAATGTTTTATCTGAATTATAACTACTGGTAAGTGGAAATGAGCTACTGTTACGTGAGAGCATGGATCTATCAAGGTAAACCCCTCAAGATGCCTTGCTGTCCATTGTGTTACTTTGCTTGCAATGAGCTACTTTTAAATAAAAACTGAAAATACACAGCTCTGAAAATACCTTGAATAGAGAGAATTTGCGACAACGAGCAAAGGAAAGGGGTTTATAGTCATTGATAGTTCATCATCTGAACCCCAGGACATTGCTACAGGAGTTCCTTAGCATTGTGTCTTCAATCCAACCGTCTTCAGTTGCTTTATCAATGATCTCTCCATCATAAGGTCAGAAGTGGGGATGATAGCAGCTGATTGTGTTTTGTTCAAAATCATTTGCAACTCCACATATTGAAGTAGTCCATGCCTGTATGGAACAAATCCTGGACAACATTCAAGCTTGGGCTGATGGGACACAAATGTTACTTGCTACTTAAGTGACAGGAAATTACATTTTTAAAGAGAGAGAGATTAGCCATCTCCCCTCGACGTTACAGCATTATTATCACTCAGAATACCATTATCAACATCACAATCATGACTGTTGAGCAGAAGCTTAATTAGAACTGCCATATAAATACTATCACTGAAACAAAGCAGGACAAAGGCTGGAAATTCTGCAGAGAATATTTTACTTCCTGACTCCCCATAGCTTGTTCACCACATTTCAAGAAACAAGTTAGGAATTTTCTTTACTTAGTGGCACTGCATCCATACCAGTAGCATCCAGAAATTCCTCCATCACAGCAAATTCATCTATTGATTGACATTCCATTTGCCTTAAATCGTTACACCCTCCATCATGACATGTAATAGCAGCAATGTATCCATCTACAAGAATTGGAACTCGATCATCATTTTTTCCATTGTCACTGGTTCAAAATTCTTTAAACCACTTTGTAACGGCACGGAAGGAGTATCTGCATCACATGGACTGCAGCAGTTTAAGAACGAATACGATGCCATCCTCTCATACTTAAATAAGGACAGCCAGTGAAAGTTGGCCTAGCCAGCACTGCCTCCGTCCTGTGAAAGCACTTTTTTTAAAAAAAAAAAAAAAGACCTTCTACATTTTTTGAAATGCTGCCTGGCTTGGGGGAGCTGTCATTCAGCCCATCATCCCATTAATCTGCCGTCTGTTCTGGGCTAGCTTTGTGTGATAGGGAAATGCAGAGGCTGAGTCACCATATGCTGCAGCTTCAATTTTCAGTTTGAAGAGCATCTTTCTGTACTAGGTCATCTTCCTGGTGCTGCCTCCCTTGCAGGAGTTGCTACTGCTCAGGGGTAGGACATTCTGATAGTCACCAATCTGATGCGCCATTATTGATGCAATACTCAGACCGAACCACAGCCTGCCACTCGGCCTCTAGCTTTAACCCCGGAAAGGAGGGAAATTCTGGATGGTCAGGATCTCAGCCACGTTCTGTCTTCACCAGCAGTTGTTCCTGGCTCTGCCTTCTTGGGTCCTTAGTGCTACTCAGCATCCTGGCTTGGAAATATTCCACTGTCCCTTCAGTGTTGTGGAATCCACCCCCCCCACCCAGCAAAACTTCACCACCACCGTCCGAAAGGCAATTAAAGAAGACTAGAAATTCTGGCCAGCCAGCAATGCTCACACCATATGAATGAATAAAAAAATCTCAACTGCCCACCAGTGGTAAAACTGCTTCTCCTCAGCCACTAGTGTCTAAACCTGAGCTGCTATTCCCAATGAGGTTTGGTCCCTTTTCCTCAGAAGTATGGATCCAAGTGGAGTTGGCTGAAGAGAAGCCACTCTTGCCTGCCAAACAAGTCTAAGGAAGGTTAACAAATCCAAATTGGAATTTGAGGAGGAAGAGGTTGGGCATGTGTCTGTTTGGAGATAGTGATAGAGGAAGAAAAAGAAGTGTTGGGTGCTCAGTGGGGAAGGAGGGATGGGGAGCGAGGGATGGGGAGCTCTGATCTTGGAGGACAAGAGCTAGGGAATGGGTAATTGGGAAGAGAAGCTTCTCAGCATGAGAGGGAGGAGGCAGGTTTGGAAGAGGGGTATGTGGTTGGTTGCAGTGATGGGGACTTCACTATTATGACCATGGAGTATGTAGTACATGGCTGAAATCTCCAAGAGTCATAAAACTAACCCTTCTTCAAACTACCTTTAAAAATAAATTTTCATAATTACATGATGTGCTGTTAATTTTTAAAATATGAGCTTTAACACAGTCAATACTACTTCATTACTATCTTGTTTTTGCTGCTGTCTCTGTAAAATAAGCTGTGCTTTTTAAAATACATTGATGGGAATGGGGCATCGCTGGCAAGGCTAGCCTTTGTTACCCTCCCTATTTGCCCTTGAGAAGGTGATGCTGAGGTTAAAAACTGGTCACGTTGCAAAATGCTTTGCAAAGCACTGCTTGTAGTCCTTTGATTCAGGTACATAATCCAGCAAGGTTATTTTTTGCTTTTGGTAGCGACTTGATTTGTCATTACTGCATTAAATGCCAAGCTACATTGTTGATTTTAGGCAGCTGTCCACCGTCTTGTTGGAAGGTTTTAAAAAAAAAAAGGAATCTAAATGTGCCTGTTCACTTGAAGTTGAATCGAGAAGGACTTGCGTTCCACAACAGCTCATAAAAATTGCTATAATTATATGATTCCTTGTCACACAAAACTTTCTTATGCTTGGGCATCATTTAACATTTGAACTTGTTGGTGATGGTTGAAGATCATTGAATTCATTGAATACTTTTGTTGTTGAGTGGCTATTTAATTTTCTGCAAAAAGCTAAGTGTTATTGTTTTAGTAACAAACATTGAACTATTTTCCTCTTATTTTATAGGTGGAACCGTCCTAAGATGTCATTGGAACAGAGAAAGGATCGTATTGCTCAAAAGAAGGCCAGCTTCCTCAGGGCACAGGAACAGAATGGCGACAGTTGAACGGTTGCCTTTAGCCATTATTCAGAAAAACGATAAATCTGATTCATATAAACAGCTAAATAAATTTAAAGAAAAACTGCTTCTGTTTGTATTGAGTGTGAACTATGAAGGGACAAGAAAATTAGTATTCCAGTGGAGTTTAATGTAACTGTGATGAATTTCCCTTCAGTAAGTTGAGGCCCCGTTTTCCTCCTCATGATAGGGAGTGAAGTCTTACGCAGAGCAAAAATACGCACATGGAAAATCTGGGTTGATGGGGCTTTTGTTTACTTTGTAGGTCTAATCCTACCTATTGTGGATTATAGGTTTCCAACAATCAATGCTGCTTAAAAAGCTCCCATATGGAAATCAGACCTCTATTTTAGTTGTATTTGAACACAAAGATCACTAGGATAGGTAACTGTACAAGCAGATACTTTGTTTGGGTTATCCAAGTTGTCTAAATTTAGAAGCATGCCTGCAACCATTTGAGGAATCCTAAATTTTGATTAAATTTGTACCTTGCTGTTCTGAAAGTTTGTTCCTGTGTTGGTGAACTAAAAGGAGGAAGAAGTACCGACTGGTAATTAGTCTTTGAACCGGCCTGGAAACAAATGAACAAGGTGAAAGGACGCAAGAGCGGAGTACAAAAGAGATAAAATTGTATAATCACTTAATTTTGAACTGCAGTGGTGTCACATGTTGCAACTTCCACTGTAGGACAAGATATAGGGAAAGAATAAGACATTTAATTAAGTCACTCGACTGGCTTTTGCTCTAAATGTGAAGGTATTCCCCAGGGATCAGTGCTGGGACCTCTGCTGGTCGTGGTCTACAGAAATGATTTGGAGGAAAATGTGGCTGCTGCAATTAGTAAGTTTACAGACAATACAAAGATTGGTGGAGTGTGAGGATTGTCAGGATACAGTAGAATATAGATCAGTTGGAGGCACAGGCACCGAAGTGGCAGATGGTGTTTAATCCACACAAATGTGAGGCAATGCAGTTTGGAAGGTCAAGTACAGGTGGAAACCATACAGCGAATAGCAGAACCGTACGAGTATTGATATGCTGAGGGATCTGGGCAGGCAGGTCCACAGATTGTTGAAGGTGGCAGCACAGGATGAGGTAGTAAAAAAAGATCTGTGGCATAATTGCCTTCATTGGAAGGGGCACTGAGTAAAAGAATAAGCAAGTTATGTTGCAGCTTTAAAGAACTTAAGTTAGGCCACACTTGGAATATTGCATACAATTGTGGTCACCACCCTACCAGAAGAATGTGGATGCTTTGGGAACGGTACAGAAAAGGTTTGCCAGGATGCTGCCTGGTATGGGGGATTTTAGCAATGAAGGAAAGTTGGATAGACTGGGTTTGTTTTCACTGGACCGCAGGAGGTTGAGGGGTGTCTTGACAAAAGTTTAAAAGTTTGTGACTGGCAAGGATAGAGTAGAAAGTCTGAGGCTTTTTCACAGGGTGGAGGGGTCAGTTACTAGGGGACACAGATTCAAGTAGGAGGGGGGTTGGCGGTGGAAATGTTGAAAAGAGATGTGCAAGGCAAGTTTTTCTCACACACGGTGGTGACTGTCTGGAATACGCTGCCAGAGGAGATGGTAGAATAGCAGCAATGAAAAATCAGTTGGATGAATTTGTGACTATAGGGAAACAGATCCTGTAAGTGAGGACAGTTTTAGTATGGAGGGCAAAATGTGTCAGTGCAAGCTTGGGGGTGGGGTAGGGTACTGTATAGTTCTTTGAGTATGAGCAAAGTATGAGCTAAGTATGACGATTTGCCAAATCATTAAAAAAAAACTGCAGTACTGAGCTAGCATGCCAACAGAGGGTGTACAAGATGGTTCAGGACTAAATTAGACACCATCTAATAGAGGGTGATATGAATGCATCCAAGATAGTTGCTCCTTTGAAAACAAATAAAAGTTGAAACTAAAAGTAGGCGCTTGTGACATTTCAAGTGATTAAAACCAGAATTATACAATGTATAGGATGGAATTGAAAACATAAAATGCAAAGATTAACAAGATATGTGAAGTTGAACTGTAAAGCAATCTGAAACTATAACCTGGTTCTCTGGCACAGGTCTCTTTGGTGAAAGCCAAGGACTACAGTCTCCAGCAGATGGAGTCTTGGCCCGACACAATGCCCAGCAACATTTCCAGTCATGCGTGTAACTTTCTGGGTCTGTTTTCTTTCCCTTTAAACATGTAAACATTCCCAATCATTGGGAATATACTGCTGTATTAAAAAAAAATTGATGTAATAGGACCCATTAAAAAGGGAACCAGAAGTGGCAAACAAATATCCAGGAGTCCTGTGAAAGAAAGATATTCAGGAACCCAGAAGAGGGTGGTGACATTGAGGAGCAGAAACCTAGGAAGAGAGCACAGAGAGAATAGCCAAGAAAGAAGTTCCAGGTGGAAAAGTGATGCTATGTGCTGACTGTAAAGTGGCTGAGAGAATCCTTAGGAGTTCAGAAAGAGCTGGAAATTCATCAGCAATTAATTGTTAGAACATAGATATGCCAGGTCAGAATGTAATTGAAGGTAGTTCAGAAGTGGGATCTTCAAAAGGGAAGAGTGGAATTCTTTTGGAGGAAGACTTGAACATTAACAAAATTGTTGACTTGTAGTGATATCTGCACTGGCTAGGTTTAGGTCACATCTACCATTAATGTGCAGGATTTGTGCTTGTTAATTTACACTTATAGAATAGAATTCCCACAATGTGGAAACAGGCTATTTGGCCCAACTGTCCACACAGACCTTCTGAAGAGCTTCCCACCCCGCTACCCTATCCCTGTGTTTCCCACAGCTAACGCACCTAACCTACAAATCCCTGAACACTATAGACAATTTAGCATGGCCAATCCAACTAACGTGCACATCTTTGGATTGTGAAAGGAAACCGGAGAACCCGGCAGAAACCCACGCAGACATGGGGAGAACATGTAAACTCCACACAGATGTTTGCCTGAGGCTGGAATCGAACTTGGGTCCCTGGCACTTCGTGAGTTTAGCTCTAAGAGTACAGATGGTTTTTGTAAGCTATTTAACTTTTCTGACTTGTAAAGTTTGTGTTTGTTCAAACCCATGGAATCTTGAGGCTTTATTAGATAGGATCTGGGATTCCCAAATGTGGGATCTAGTGTATAATTGTTACTATGTTTTATAACAAAATGTAAACAGTAGCTAAGTTTAAAAACTTGAGCCTATTAAGGACCCAAATGGAAATCTTCACGGGGAAGCAAAAGACATGTAAAAGACATAAGAGCAGAGTTAGGCCATTCAGCCTATTAAATCTGGTCCACCATTCAAGCATGGATGATATGTTTCTTAACTTTTCTCCTGCCTTCTCCCCATAACTATTGATCGCTTTACCAATCAAGAACCTATCTATCTCTTGGCTTGCTTCCACAGCCTCCTGCGGCAATAAGTTCCAAAGATTAACCAGCCTTTGGATGAAGAAATTCCTCCTCATCTTGGTTCTACAGCGGTGTCTCTTCACACTGGGGCTAAATGACTCTACCAGAGTCAAAGTTAGCATAGACAGCTTAGAAATAGAAAGGGACAAAGAAAAAAAACTGCAGATGCTGGAATCCAAGGTAGACAAACAGGTGGCTGGAAGAACACAGCAGGCCAGGCAGCAGCTGGAGGAAAGAAGCAATTCAACGTTTCAGGTGGCAAGCTAAAGGGAATTCCAGAGCTTGGGTTAAAACAGCTGAAATGCAGATACTAGTTACAATGCAATTAAAATCAGGTGAGCCTAACATACGGAACATGCATAGTTGTCAAAGACTTGTACACTTGGAGGCATGGAGAAGGTTCCCCCCAAGTGTTAGAAAACAAAAGATTTTTAAAGTGACATGTTGGAAATCTTATAACACTGGGATAATGGGTAGATGGAACATGCTGCCAATTAATATATGGCAGCAGTTTTGGAAGGCACAAATTTTATGTTAGGTTGACTAGGACAGCATTGGAACAGTTAAATTTAGCGCTAGCAAAAGGAAGGGACGAGAGATCCCATAGCAGATGATTTAAAAACAAAAGTTGCTGGAAAAGCTCAGCAGGTCTGGCAGCATCTGTGAAGGAGAAAACAGAGTTAACGTTTCGGGTCCGGTGACCCTTCCTCAGAACTGTTCTGTTC